TAATCCCAAATATAGCATATGTTACATTTGACCACTTTCTAAATGGCATTGTGTATTTCATAACAAAATATCTAGTTTGGTTGGTACTTCACAAGCCAACAAAATACTAAACCATATCCTTTTCTCTGCAAAGAGACATATCTGTTTATGTAATATTAAATAAGAAACAATTCACAAATTAATCAAGTATCTGAAAACCTTAAAATCCATCTTTCTTGCAGAAAAAAAGTATTTTCAAAAGAGACAATGACGTGGAAAATTTTGAACAAAATGGTTTCATTTCATTACATATCTCAATAATAGACTATATTCAACCACCCTATAGAAGCTGTTCAACTTTTTTTACTTGTATATTGCTTCTGTTACTGAGGCGGCAGAGTAGCCCAGTGGTTGAGGCTTTGGCTCGTCACGACGGAGACCCGGGTTCTATTCCCCACACGGTTAATCTGTGTGGAACCCATTTCTGGTGTCCACCTCCATGATATTGCTGGAGTGTTCCTAAAAGAGGCGTTAAACCATATTCACCCACTCACATCTGTGATAACAACATGTATGTATCTTTGTAACTAAGGAAATGAATAAAAAAAATAAGAAAAAAAGAACTCATTAGACCCCCTCTTATGACAGTCAAGGTGTGTGTGCAATACTGTTAACTCAAATTGGCAATATCACACACACATTAACCACGTCTAGACCTTTATTGTTTACTACCTTGCACTACAGATATTACAAATTAAATAAAGTGATAACACTCTTCCATAATCATCTGAAATATCTATTACTATTACTGGTATCTATAGCACGATACCAGTGGTTAAGTAATACGTGAGTGTATCTTTCCCCATCAGAAGCACGCGTCCGAAAAATGAAAAAAAAACAAGTCAATTGTTCACCTGATGAAACACTAAATAAGTATGGTGAAAGTCCAACTTGAAACTCGAATCGGAACCTATTTTGATAACTGTCATGTTCATGTTCTTGTACATGTCTACTTTAACATGTTTAGAAGTTGTACTAAAGCCTTCATTGTTGTAAGTCGCTAGTTGAAATCTCCGTAGCAAGAGTTGATCAATTGTACCTCAAAAGTTGAGAAATGTTGACACCAAAGGTTCGACGTAAAGGAAAAGTTGACTTAAAGTGTATGCATTGATAATGCAGTCATACGAACACAAATAGATTAAAACTATCAAACAGATTATTGAAAGTTTGTTGAAGTCCATTTTCCTCAATTAAATAAAGAGGGCAGTGGTTTCGTCATAACCTCTTCCTCGAAACAATTTTGAATTTAAGAAGAGATATATTCGTATAATGATGACGGAACCTGTTTCCACTTACGAGGATACATCAGGTTATTCGTTCTCTCCACTCCAATATGCGCTTCATGTAATCTAATACGTCACTGAACAGTCATCTAACCAGTACACACGTTCCATTACCTGACAATGGCATCAGATAGAAACAGTTCCTAAATTGGTTTGTTGGGTTCAACACCATGTCAGTGTAACCATGCTTCACAACAGCATGTTAGCTAAATTTTGGAACAATGCTGGTCGATACACGAGCAGTGGCATGGTGCTTATGATATAATCGGAAACTAGGGTTCGAACCCACGATCAGTAGCTTTTAGCATCTCTGCAATGTAGTTTCCGTTCCCTGAAATCCTATAATCATAAATGCACCATTAAACATCAAACAGTGCCCAGCCAGTACACAAGTATGTGACATACGTTCTTCTTTCGTACTGGCAGGATTTCTAAGTAATCAATTTTTCCTAATGATTTTATCATAATTGTATCACATGAATGTAATTAAAGGCTCTCATCTCAATTACTTTATCGTGCCTGGCTTGGATCTTTTCACTTATGCTCTAAAGTCGTTAGGTGAAACCGTACAATGTCATTTCCTGTGATTTTAGAGATTTCTACTGATTGGCAAACCTGAGAAACAAGTGAAACAACCTCATCTGTCTCAATATTTACATCTTTGCATACAGATTCATAGTGATATAATATTGCCAAAACGACCTTTCTTATTAATACAAGGAAGATACATCCCACTTCAGTGACGAGGAATGCTCCCCCTACTCCGAGTTGAAATTTCTTACATGTACTGATGTTGATTTCACCATGGGACTTCCAAACTTTCTTTTGTCCAAACGTTTGAAAAACAAATATAATACAAAACCAGCTTCATACTACCTCAAAGGCATCTCATAGCATTCGATTCACATGATGCACGGTTTTACGCATCACTGGTCAAAATTATGTTTATTTTTTTCATATACATGTAGCATATTGCTTTCCCATGTTTTTGTTTCTCGAGGTAAATATTTCCTTACCTTTGCATGTGTTATTACAACGTCATCGGCCGGGCACAATATGTGCACTTTACACAAACATCTGGGATAATAATTATTTGATCGTGATTCCCAAACACAATACTCTGAATCGTAAATCGATTTCTGTTTTAGTGAGTAGGTGAGTTTAGTTTAACGCCGCTTTTTTAAATATGACAGAAACACCAAGACGGGGGACACATTTCACTTCTCACATTGTACCTACGTGGAGAATCAAAACCGGGTCTTCGGCCTGATGAGCGGACGCTCTAACCACTAGGCTACCCTGCCGTCCCAGTCTGCCTTTACGCACTGTAGTTGTGATTTTTAATGACTATTAAAATGTTTAGTGTCGACTTATATATGGCAGTTTTTATCATGATCGTTGTTTAATACATATAAGTGCATAGTAAATTGTTTCCGAACTGTTTGATATGCAGCAACAGTTTTCACATAAAAGGAGTTTTCTGTTTCTTTTTTACTCCAAAATGACATGGATATCTTAAACGATTCTCAGAATATAATGTGCTTAGTTGTAACGTGTTCTGAGCAATGACTTGATCGTATGTAGTATTTGGGGATATCCTCTGTCGATTCCACCTAGGACAGGCAATATGTGCTTGTTATAAGGCAGGTAAACGGATAAGGTGATAAGGCTTGGTGACTTTGATTGTGTCACAAGACATGACATGGAAACTCAGGGTATAATATGGTGCTCCATTCTGAGACAATACTCACTTTCTCAAGAATATAAATCACATTATTATTATAAGAAACATATGTAATAATAATTATAATTTCGTTTCTGAATGGCTAATATAAACTGTTCATAATAGGGCAAGCCAGTACAGACAGTGCAAGGATCGTCCGAGCTCTCTTTAGTGCATTTTGTATATTTTTTTTCTAGATACAATGAAATTCATTCAGTGTACAATTATGTTCACAGTTCTGTGAAATGATCAATGTACAACTGAACATTACTATAATGATTTAAACACTGAAGTGATTGCCCGATAATATTCTGTGATAAGATACATATGCACCTAATTCGTAATATTATAATAATCAGCACCCTAAACATCAAAGCATGTAATAATATGATCAACTGTTAATCAGTAACATCTGTATAGTAGTTAAAAGACGGGATTGCATTTTAATTAATGGCACAATTATATAAGAAGGGCTTCACCGGGCGGGCCCACGAACGTCTTCCAACAGTGGAATCAGCTCCCTTGAGGTAAGAGCATGTTTGATGTCCAACTTTCATTTTGACATTGTTTCTGAGGACTGGGCACATATTTGGCAAGTGTTAGCTCTCTCACAAAATATTAACACTATTAGCAGTATTAGCATTATTTAACATAACAATTGAAATTTGTACAAAATAACCACCACAGGTAATTTAATATAAATATATGTGGTTTAAACAGATTTTATTCAATTCAAGAAGAAAGAAAAGGATTCTCAAAATTCATTTGTGCAGTTTCATGAATATTCTCTATATAATTCATGATTTAACATAGTGCAAAAGTAACGTATTTTTGTAAGCAATAAACTGAACTTCCTTCAACCACACTAAAAAAATATGAGCTTTTCAGTTTTCGGTGTATTATTGTTTATTCAGTTTTCATATGTATGATATTTCTTATAGGGCCATAAATAATTTTTGAGAGATTAAGTGACCAGACAGATTGCCATGTCCCAAAATGTCAATTCCAGTAGTTTCGGGAGAGAACAACGGGAGAGATAACAAGTGGTGTTCCCTTATTTGTTCCCCTCAGTATACATGCAGAAGTAACGGAGGTTTTCACTGGTATGTGTGTCATAATGAAATGTAGACAAAGAGTTTGTAGGTTCAAAAGCCTTAACATGCGTTGCTCAAAACCTCAGTTCGTGTTCATGCCTACCTAGAATATTTCCGAATTTAGTGTTAAATGTCAAACATCACGGTTTTTCTCAAGAATCCGACGTTATACGGGTCTAAAGCGGAATAAATCGGAATGGTTGTCTCTTCTGTGGGGATACTGTGTAGATGCTGTCCATATATGTATGTAACTGCATAGATGGCATAATGTTAAGCTCAGCAGTCATCTGTTTGACTGGCATTTTAGAATTTGATGAATAATAAGGCAAGTACCATATAGAAGTTTTGACTTCGCAAATGGCTGCCATCGATCAAATTAATGGGGTAAGGCGTTTGATTGGTATTATTCAGATAACCAAATTCGCTCTCCGTTTCATGTGAATAGGGTAACATTTCACGTTGATTCGGCGAAATTTCAACTATACAGTGATGAGTTGCACTCACACGTTTTTTGCTATGAACCGATTTACGAGGATCCTGTGTAAACAATGTTAAGTAATTGCATGGTGTGTCCGAGCTAATTAAAATAATGATAACTGAAGGATTAATTCACTTATTCGACTGCAATACAGGCACAGTAAATGTTAAGAAATATATATTTTCATAACGTTGACAGATCTTCCAATATCACAATGATGTGGACCGTAGTTTTTCTGGGCGTCTTGGGCGTCTCCATGGCGAATGTAATGATGCCAGAATATCAGAACATCGTGCTTCAACTACACAACGATGGACGCCAGATGATGAACGAGGGAGATTTCCCTAATGGGTTCGGAGAGGAAAACTATCTCGTGTGTATGCATGTCTTTATACAAATCATTTCAAAATAATGCTGATTGAGTGACGTATCTGTTTATAGTTTCTTTTTTTCTTTAACCGTTATCACTCGCAGCTTTACGAATCTGTCAACAATCTGCAGCATTGAATCATTGAAATACATGTATTTCACATGAAGAGTAATGGAGCTTACGGCAGCTTTCAAGATGTATGAATGTAGTCATGTATGCTTGATTGCGTGTATGCGTGTGAGCGTGCGTGGATGGTTTGATGTGGATGCTGCTTGAACGAACAGAGTGTCGGTCGGGTAGGTAAGAGGTTGTAGCTTTCTCGTTAAGTTAAGGAGACACATACATGTTTTGCTGAATACATTAAACAATGAGATGAAATTTTCATGCGCTTCCTGAAAGGAAATTGATAAAATGTTGTTTAAGAAAATATAAGTTATTGTTTTGTCAGCCAACATGTTACCTCCCAGCATTTTCGCATTTGTTATTCTTCAAGTCCAAATCAAATGTATATTGTTGTACGAAATGTAGGCCCTATCACAGTCTAGTAAGCATTTAGACAAATTGGCATTGGTCTCATGAATAAATCAAATTGATTCTTAAGCTTAAATACTGTTTGTTGCAGAGATGGAACGAAGAATTAGCAAGACAAGCCCAGAGATATGCAAACAGATGTCAGTTCAGATACTCATCAAGACCTGAGTTCGGCGAGAACCTCTACATTGAGCAGTCGTCCCGATCGGAGGAAGAGTTCATGAATAGAGGCTTTAACGCTTGGAGGAACGGGGTCGACTCATTCCGCTACAATGACAGGGGATGCTCTCCTTCCCAGAGCTGCTATTACTCACAGGTATTGTTGGGAATCCAAGGTTCCTTCTTACGCTTCATTATGTTGCATACAAACTTATCTTACATTACACGTGCGGCAGGACTGACGATACGTGTTTTGCGAACACTTTATGTTAACGCTGTCTGATGTTGATTCATAAACACAATCTGGCTAAACAGATTTCAGATTGATTTTTTTTATACTTACATTCCCTTTCTGCATCTTTGATGGTTGAAGGTTTTCAAGTTTATCGCATAGGTGTTACAAAGATGTATAATTGTATAACTTTCCTCAGAGCATTTGCTGTCGTTTATACATGTTATGGCGCTTAGTTTGTTTATTTTGTTCAGCGAATAAGAGGAATACGCATGTTGACATTAATACACATGAAACAGCATCATACGGCATGGCTGACTGAGTACAAAGTCGTTCCAGATCGTCGTCATTATCAATTTACAGTTATCAGTATGTAATGTTCCCACAAGACTGTGTATAAAGAAGGATGAAATCAACATTTCAATTTTCAGCATTTCGTTTATGTTGCGCAGCAACCCAGTTCCAGTCTTTGATGTCACAGCTTTTGATGTACGAGGGCGCATGTTCTTTGCATGATGAGTTCAAAGAGCTTCATGCCACTCTTGCGAACATGTTGTTTCATGAACAGCTTCATGAAAGAAGTATGGATGCCTTTGTCAGATCAGACACCACCATCTAAACTAACGGGTAGTGATTTCGACTTTGTGAATTTGTTTTCAGGTGAATAATTACCTTGCCTTTGCATGTGTTCACCCCGGATACCATCGCAGTGGCAGGAGTTTGATCTTTTTACTTACAGTTGGTATCATCACTACTTGATGGTCATTTAGAAATAAAATGCTCAAGATTGAAAGTGGTTTTGTCGTTTTTATTTATGATATTCTTATCGGTGTAGCTTCTAAATAATGGATTTATCATCCAGGTCAACTGGGAGGAGACTCGGGAATTTGGCTGTGCAATGAATAACTGCCCCTATATGTCTCAGTTCCAAGGTTACAATGACGTACGGTTCCTGGTGTGTTACTATGAGCCCAGGTAAGTATTTGTACTTTAATCTGCCTACCCGTGTGTGGGCATTCGCGTTCCACAGATTCCAGTGCTTGTGTTTGTGCTTGTGTTTGACTCATTGGGTAACCATAACATGACAAAATATTGAGCTTAACGCCACAGCCTACACCCAGAAAGTGATTGGATCATGTCATTCGAGATTACGTTTTCATTAATAATGGTCCATGTCTGATCTTGTCAATCGGAGTACACGTACTACCTTCAGAAGGGAACTGATGAAATGATTTCGAAGGTGGAAGTACATATTGTGTTATGTGATGTGAAATATATAAATTCGGATGCAACGCAATGATATTATAAACGTCCTCCTAAAAAATATCGACATTCATAGTTTTAGTTCCTTTAATTTCATGCCTTTGGTGTATTTCAATTGTAGGGCCCTTCAATGATACATTCCATCACAACAAAAAATCCCGTCTAAGAAATTATGTATTTTACTTCATGTTCCAGGAGTAATTGGATGGGAGAGGAAGCTTACGAACCTGGTAAATGACAACATTTTAAAGTTCAACAACTGTGAAGTAGATTTTGATACAAGTCGTCACTGTAATTATTTTGTATTTCAATGCTGGTCGAAAAGCATACATTATATATATATATGGTTAAACGTAACAAATTGCGATCTAGATATACAGATAGATATATAAAAATATGTGTGCGTGCGTGCGTGTGTCTACGTGTATTCAGGGTGCTATCGAATATTAACAAAAATTGTCTTATTTACAAGGTCTTTCAGGCATCGTTTTATGTTTGTTTGTTGTATTTACAGCGAAATAGAGCCTTCGTAGGATGGATACTAATGGACGACTTTCGACTGGATGTTGACTGTTCGAAGTGTTTAAATAAAGCAAAGTGATTGCAAAAGAAGCAAACACAAACAATGCCGACTCTGTTTTATGTTATCTGAACCAAGGTTGAAATGGGTTTGTGCCCAGGTCATTTTAGCTGTAGTTAGTTGCTTACAACGTTCCTGTAGCCGTGAATCGGACGCCGGGGATGTCACCTCATGTTCTCTTTGGATCCCTTGCACGTTTGTGTTTGTTAGTTTTTACTATACAGAATACTGCATTCACCAGTTTTCCATCTACATGACGACGGTCTGTAAATAATCTGTCTCCACCAGACTGTCTAGTGATACAATTAATGAGCATCAGTCTACGCAAATGAGATACGATGGCCTGCATCAACCAAGGAGACGAGTCTGACCACACGATCTCATTAGTGGCTTCTTGCAAGCATGAAGGCCTATTCTAACCCGGATCTTCATGGGTCGAGAAATTAGAGGTCAAAGATGCTTATCTTACACGAAATATATTAACCCAATGGTTATGGGGTTTGCAGAATCGAGGCTGAGCCAGCTGATGGATACAAAGAGAGCTTTGGAGAATTAGATTCATTGTTCACGAACATGTGTAGTTCCGATATACAAGTAGTTATAAACACCGTATCTAAACTGCAATACTGTAGATTTAAATCATGTATATATGAGGATTTTAATTTGTAACAATGTTATACCGTGATGGCGGAACTATATAGCGTATGATCATAACCGGATTCCGATTATCATACACTTTGCCGCCCAAATTCAAACCCTGTCTTATGTGAGCAATATCTATTTACTTATGTCATCACCGCATGTTCCCTGAAATAGCGTGAGTATTTTGAAGCTTTGAACATATCAAATACCATTTCAAGAACTCCAAAAAGAGACAGAGCAGACGACTGTGAGTGACGACAGCAGTTTTCTCTGAAGACATGAGCATGTTTATTGTTTGCAACAATAGTCCAAACAAACTAAAACCTCGACATTAACGTATACATTGAACAAAAGAACTACGCTCATGAATCTTTATGACATAATTTCGTTCATTATTAAATCAGTTAACCTGTCGTGTTTGTGTTTTTGCTTTACACAGGAAAACATATGTCCCGACAGTACAAATAGCGTACAGGTGTAATCCGACCCCCTATGCTACACACGAGGCTGAACAATATATGCTACTGAGTGAGTGAGCGATGGTCGGTTCACGCTAAGGACACAATTTCTCTATCAATATCAATGCGGCATCTACATAACTGATAAAGCAACAGCAGCAACTGAAATCATGGACGAGGATCCACATCGTCAGGGAATGATATCATGGAGCCGACGCATTCATTTCTTGGTGTTCACAATGAACATACCACATTGGGTACACATGCTCCACCAAGGTCCCCCATTGACATAATATTTATTGAGAAAGGCGTTAGTTCATGCTGGAGATAAAACTTAGTTCATGGAAATACGCTGAGTCACAAGTATTAATTGTTTTATTGAAGATCGAAATGATGCACTAATAAGTGCAATTAATACATCCATAAATACATCCACGTTATAGACATTAGTAGGGAAAAAGAATCACACAGTTGAATAGAAATGTTCAGGTACCAAACATTTTATTGATATTTGTCCTCTTGTCTATATATACTTTCCAATAAACATACTCTACTCTTGTTGAACAACTCTGTAAATAATACAGTCTGGACCAGACACAATTGTGACTAGCATCTACCTACAACATCTGAACACGATAATGTGCCTTAACTAAGTCGGCCAGGCTGACCTCCCGAACTCATCAGTCCCCTCTTATGACAGACAGTGGGGGTGGAATACTGTTAACTCTAATTGGCAATGTCCCAGACACACATTAACCATGTCTAGACCAAGAACTTTTACTACCTTGCGCTGCAGATATTACAAAGTAAATCAAGCGATAAACACTATTCCATTATGATCTGAAATACATATTAACAGCAGAATTCACTGTAGATCTAAAGCATGATACCAGTCATTAAGTAATAAGTGAGTGTATTTTTCCTCATTTGCAGCACTCGCCCTAAAAAGCAGACTGAAACAAAAACACGTCAATTGTTGATGAAACACTGAATAATAGTTTGCATGGTGAAAGTCCAACTTGGAACTCGAATCGGAAACTAGTTTGCAAACTGGCAAACTGGCAAACCTTAACACGTTTAGAGTTGTACTAAAAGCTTCAAAGTTGCACGTCGCTGTTTGAAATCTCCGTAGAAAGAGCATGCACAATCGCACCTCAAAAGTTGAGAAATGTTGACACCAAAGGTTCGACGTAAAGGAAAAGTTGACTTAAAGTGTATGCATTGATAATGCAGTCATACGAACCCAAATCCATTAAAACTATCAAACACATTATTGGCGGTTTATTGAAGTCCATTTTCCTCACTTAAATAAAAACGGTCCTGGTGTCGTTTTAATTTCTCTCTCTAAACAATTTTGAATTTAAGAAGAGGCATTCGTTTAATGATGACGGTGCCTGTCTCCACTTACGAGGATACATCAGGTTAACATTCGATCTCTCTACTACAATCTGCGCTTCTTGTAATCTAATACGTCACTGAACAGTCATCCAACGAGTACACGTACCATTATCTGACAAATAATTGGATCAAATAGAAACAGTTCATTAACTGAGTTCGTTGGGTTAAACACCATGTAAGTGTAAACGTGTTTCATTACGGCATGTCAGCTACATTTTGGAACAACCATGGTGGGTATATGACCAATTGGTCTAGTGCTTGTGGGTAATCGGAAACTGGGCATTCGAACCCCTCGATTAGTAGATCCTTGGAATTTCTGCAATGTGGTTTGCGGGTCTGAAGCCCAATGATCACCAGTTTCATCAGGTATGAAATAAGAGCCAGATGAATAATTGTGTGAGATCACAAAGATCATTTATGCCTTTGAATGAGAAAC